GAAGGAGATATCTGAATGGCTGATGATTAGGCTATGCGTATGATAAAACTATACAAGTTAAGGGGTCAGCAATTTGTTGTTATTGGGTTTTTTTAAATCATTTTATTAAAAAAAATTAGGTATCTAGTGCAACCGCCCTCCCTATCACACTCATGCAGATGAAGGACTTTTTTCTTTGACTAACATTTCCCAGTTAATCCGAAACATGCAATTATGACTGTATTAGACCAGAGGTTCCCAACCTGAGATCTGGGAACACTGGCTGCTGGTTCAAGGAGAACTGGCTGGTCACATGGTGATCTTTCCACCTCATTACCAGCTGCTAAATTACATTCAGAAACAGCTAAGATACATCAAAGACTGCTCTAATTTTACCTTTTCATCTAAACAATTACATGAAAAACCTCAGAGATGTAATGGCATCACCAATGAGAGGGCAGGCTGCCCACGAGACTGCTGCTGTACTAAAATGTGATCCACACTATGACAGCGTTTGGCAAGTCTGTATTAGACTAAAATGGAGTAATATGTATATGAGGTTTAACAAGAATGTATTACCAGATATCACAATATTGACTTTTCAAGGTCAAGATAAAAATTATGGCCCAGTTCTTCAAAGAGATGTATGCAGGGATGTCAAGTTCAAGATAAAAGATATGCCCTGGCCCTCTAAGAAGTGAGTGTGGGGGATCCCACTGAAGTCAATGGTTTCAAGATAGGGAACAACCAGCAGAAGTCTTTGCAGAAGTGAGGCCTGTACTTGCGGTGGAAGGAGTCTTATCTGTGTCATTAATGACACTTTAAATTATTTAAACTAATCTTAAAATCCTGTAGTTTTCTTGTCACAATTTAGCTGCCTATTTTGTCTTTAACTCAACTCAGAAAGACCTCATGGGTCAGTTTCATGGAGGGGACCTCATCTTTTCATGTTTCCAACTCAGCAGTATAATGTCACTTTAAATTAACAATGGCTAGATGACTGAAGTCTTTTTCTATCCCCAAACACACAGTAAATTTGAGGATGGAAAATAATTCAGACCTCTAGACATTCCTTCTGTTAATGTTTGTTCCACATAGTATGTTTTCTTGCCTAGTTCTGACTATACCAAATGATGAGGTTTCCATCACTTCCTTGGGAGACTTGGTAAACATAATTAGACAAAGGAACAGATACTAAGAGGGGTCTTTGACACATGAGCAAAGGAAATAACAAAAAATACATAACATTCTGGGCGTAGGGAACAGTATTTAGTCGTAAAGCAGTGGTTGTCAACCAGGGGTGCATGTACCCCTGGGGGTACATCAACTCATCTAGATAATTGCCTAGTTTTACAGCAGGCTACGTAAAAAAGCATTAACAAAGTCAGTACAAACTAAAATGTCATACAGACAATAACTTATTTATACTGCTCTATATACTATACACTGAAATTAAGTAAAATATTTATATTCCAATTCACTTATTTTATAATTATATGGTAAAAATAAGTATGCCATTTTTCAGTAATAGTGTATTGTGACACTATTTGTATTTTTATGTATGACTTTGTAAGCAAGTAGTCTTTAAGTGAGGTGAAACTTGGGGGTACACAAGACAAATCAGACTCCTGACAGGGGTACAGAAATCTGGAAAGTTTGAGAGCCACTGAGAAAGAGGGAGTCTGACCTGATAACCTGCTAGGGCACAGGACTCTATTAAGGCTAATTTATGAATAACATCCCAATAAGTATTTTCTGGTGATACAAAGAATAGCCATATTCCAAATAATAAAAATTATTCATTTTTTACATTGCATTTCCAACTCATCCAGAATTTCTGCCTGACAGAGAAAAATTAATTGACTGCAGCTAAAACGTGAACATTCCTCTCCATATAAAATTCAATTTTCATTACTGAAAAATGGTTGACTTTTAAAACTCCCTACACTGGAAAAAGAGAAAAGTGATGCAATTTTGTTCTGAATGCAGTCATTACAGCACGACTGGCATAAATCTCTGGTATGCATGAAGATATCTTACTATGAAAAACACGTACTATATCTGTCTAGCAGTCTGCTATGAAACCAGTGAGTTACTATCCTATAATTTATCAGAAGCAGGACTGAATATAAAACTGGGGACATATAATGCATGGTACAAAGCTCTGGCACAATAAAATTTGTAATTAAAGATTAATCTTTGTTTTCAATGTTGAACCCTGACCCCAACCTCAACTCCACCTTAGCACAAATTAAGTTGAAAGAAAAGAAAAGAAAAGAAAAGAAAAGAAAAGAAAAGAAAAGAAAGCACAGGTTGTCTATTTCAAATGACAAATGTTTACTGTTTTATGTACTCGCAAAAAGAAAAAGGAGTACTTGTGGCACCTTAGAGACTAACCAATTTATTTGAGCATGAGCTTTCGTGAGCTACCTCACGAAAGCTCATGCTCAAATAAATTGGTTAGTCTCTAAGGTGCCACAAGTACTCCTTTTCTTTTTGCGAATACAGACTAACACGGCTGTTCCTCTGAAACCTGTTTTATGTACTGTACCACCTTTGGGGAAAATATGGTCTGATTCATTAAATATAAAACCAAGATTCAAGCTGTAAGATACATGTGTTTCTGTGAAGTGCATTAGGTTACGGGCTTAATAAGATAAATGTATCCATATAATATGAAATGTAGGTTTGCTGTATTGCTTCCTCACAGATTTAGATTTTGCCTGGTCCGTTCTTTACTCTGCACTGAAGTTTCCCTCAGCCATTGCAATTACAACGCTAGTCAGAAAACATGGCACTCACAGACACTGCTATGCAATCCTTTTTATAATCTGTCTTCTATATTGCGTCATATTTAAAACGAAGACATTTATTGCAACATGTGGAAGCTCTGAGATTTCTTGAGGATAACTGTATTTACCATTTAACTATTTGGGAAATAATAAAAGTGATAAGAACTAATAAATCCTCTCTCTAAACTCTGGTCACAACTGTAAACATAGAATTCTACATGCGCATGTTAAGAGAAATTGGGGTTATATTCCTTCAACATTCATTTTCCAACAGAAATTTTAGAACAGGTTACAGAAGAGAGGGGTGGCTACAGGAGGGGGTTTCAACAGCCTGTGTGGACTTTAGAGGGAAGCAGGCAGTGGGTGTGAAAAGGGGTGTGTGCCTGAGAGAGAGGTGGCTGGGGGCTGTGGCACTGGAACAGTTTTTACAGTGAGGGTGCTGGATGCCATTGAACAAAAACTGTGAAGCCTGTATATAAGGGAAACCACTTCAGCACCCCCGGGGGGTGTGTCTTAAGGAGACCTGAAGCGCGCTGGGAAAGTCGTAGTTTAAAGGAATGGGGGGTGAGGGGAAACCAAGGCAGGGCCCCTGCAGGCTGAGAGATGCCGGGAGTGCACTCATGCAGACAGGGTGGGAGGCGTGCGCTTCAGAGGAGCGAAGGAGTGTGAGTCACCCCCATGTGCTTCAGGGAGCCCATAACTCCGAGCGAGGCAGGCACAGGGAGGGCGGGAAGCTGTGGGACGGGAGCTGGCCCTGGGGTCGCTCTCACCTGTATCTGCAGCGGCACCAGGCGCACCTTGCAGCGCTCGCTGACCAGGAAGCCCTTGGGCAGGTCGATGTACTGGCTCCACTCCTCGGCGAAGAGCTGCACCACGAACTTGCGGTGCATGTCGAGCTGGTCCCCGTAGAGGCTCAGGAACTTCTGGATCAGCAGCTCGTAGCCGGCGCCATGCGGCACGGTCGAGGGCCGGGCGAAGACCGAGAAGCAGAAGAGCACGGGCACCGAGCCGCCGCCAGACCCGGCCGGGCAGCAGCCCCCGCCGCCCGCGGGAGGAGCAGCCGCCGCCATCTTCAGGGGCAGCCGCTCAGGCGCCTCCCTGCGGCCCAAGCTGCCGCAACTGCTGCTCCGCCAGCCGCTCCCGCCCCCAGGCAGACGGGCGGCCCCAAATCCCGGCTCCTGCTCCGCCTCCTCACCATAAGGCCCAGCCCAGGTGCCCCGCTCCCAGCCCAGCGGCGTTTCCCCCGGCTCAAGGGCCCTTCACCCTCAGCCCGGCTCGCTCCCCGCCTGCTAGGAGGAGCCGAGGCCCCGGCCTGGCCGCGCCGCCCCGCTGCTGAGGCAGGCCCTCTGCACGGGGCTGGATGAGCGCCCGAGGACCGGGCCCTGCCGCTGCACGGCCCCAGAGGATCCCCTGGGGCGGCGCCGCGCTCACCTCACCTCAGCTGGGCTGCCCTGGCGTCCACGCCTCAGATCCGAGTGCAGGATCGGGGCCTCGTACTGCAGCGCCGGGCCCCACCATTAGCACAGAGAGGACGACACAGATAGCAACCTTCCCCTTTTGCAACTAGGTGCAGTCTCCGCCACGCAAACGTGACCATCTTGGCTACTGCTCAGGACTTGCTACCGCCTGCCAGGGTTGCAAATCAGGAGGGATGGGGGTTTGGTCGAAAACGCTCACGGTTTGTTTCCTCCTTGCTAATGTGCCAAATTGATTGTACTGCCTGGTCCAGGGGTTGTGAATCAGGAGGGATGGGGTTTTGTGGTCGAAAAGACTCACAATTCCCTCCCTCCTTGCTAACGTGCACAGTTGATGTATTTGATGATTGAGAGGTGCGTGAAAAGGGAGGCAAGCTTTGGGGTTTCGGAGCATGCCCATGAGCCCAAGGTAATACCAGAGTGTCCCCTTTGATTTTTTTCACTGGCTACATCCTTGGTTATTTCCAATTACTTGGCTGCCCATGCACCTATCACTGGTCCAGGGATGGTTGCGAATCAGGAGGGATGGGGGTTTTGGTCGAAAACACTCACAATTTGCTTCCTCCTTGCTGCTTTTATAATTTGCATTGTACACATGGACACAAATACCGAGAATAATTTTTTTCAAATAAAAAACATTTATTATAATCTGATATATAAATAAAAATATTTTGGTTGCATTATGTTTTGAACAAGAGGCATTTAAATATAATGGGTTTTTTGTTGTGTTTTGTTTTTTTGGTAAAGAAGGGAACTATGCACATTTTTTGCAGTTGTACTCTTTCTTCTCATCAGTCAGGTAGTCTTGATTGGTTCCTTCTGTAATGCATGGTATAGATGCAAGAATCACACTTGACCTTTGATAAGTAACCGTTGAGTAAATGAAATCACAAAAGTTATAATGACAGGTTTCAGAGTAGCAGCCGTGTTAGTCTGTATCCGCAAAAAGAAAAGGAGTACTTGTAGCACCTTAGAGACTAACAAATTTATTTGAGCATAAGCTTTTGTGAGCTACAGCTCACTTCATCGGATGCACATACTTTGCATTCACTCATGATATTCCTTCCACATGTCAGCATTACCTAACATATGCCTGTCAGCATGATGAAAATGTTTACTGATGTGGAATTTTTATAAGAATCATGATCCTTAGGCAGTTTATGGCATTTATTTCTCATACAATTCTATGTTTCTCACCATCGTGCAATCCTCACTTTCCTTTTCACAGTTGACAAGGTTGCGGTATATGCAGTAGTCCTCCACGCTTTCTTAAAAATAAATATATGAAATGATGAATATGTTACAACCAACACTGAAAATGCAAATCTTGATTTATTAATTAATGTCAATGTTAATTTATTTTTAATTAATGTCAATATTTTAATCCAGTCACTGGTTTGAACATATCTTTTTCTTTTTTGTGAGTCATATTTTCTCAAATTTTTACCGCACCTGTATATAAAACTACCAGTTTCATTCAACTGGTCAATCAATAGCAACTATTCACCCCATTCAAATTTTTGTGTACTTAAAGATATTATTGATTCATAGTCATCATTACAGAACCAAACCTGTGAGATATCCCACTTTAGGGGTATTAAGATAACTGTCTGCTATGTGACATAATTCCACTCTTCCTGTTATCTTCACATGTGCCTCATGAGTCCACAGTATATGGTAGAAAGTAATTACCTGACTCCTACAACACATGATGAAAGAAAAGGCACAATTTCAATAATATTTGATGAATCAATCCCATTAACAAATACATGTTTAGTGGTACTTAAATATACCTCATCACTTATCCAGCTTCTCGGTTTCAGGCAATGAAAGGAAGAGCCATACACTTTTATGTTTCTCACTTTGGCCTCCAGTCTCTCTGTGTGTTTGGTGATCATTATAAATTTGACTAGAAAAAAATATTAACACATATTACATGCATGGTAATACAGTTTCCTTTTTCTCTGTTTTACTACTGTGAATGCCGCCACTTTGTACATGAAAACCTTTAACAGTTCCATTTCTGAAGTATGTTAATCTGTTTAAGAAAGGTGTGGTAACCAATTACCTTTCAGAATCCATTGCTTGTCTTCCACCTCCTTCACAAGCATGTCATCAAAATTGTCATCAGCATCACTTGAATCATTGTTTGAAACATCTTGCCCTACATACTTCTCTTCTTCCATTGCTGTGACCTCTATGTTTTTCACTGTGCTGTCATGGGATACAGTGCCATCCACTTTTCTAAAGTCTTCTGTGGGTGTTTCTGGTTCAGTGTCACTAACTGCAATTTCAGTTCCGATTTTTCCCTCTGATGTGCTTGCAGCAGCTAATGTTGGTGGCTCTTTAAATGGTTTTAAGTGTGCCATACTGTACATGGTTCCTAACCATTTCCCTAAGATGGTTTGTAATTTCACTCTCTTACCCTCAACAGCCGTAATTTTGTATGGTCCAATATACCTAGGTTCCAGTACTCCTCCTTTTCTTGTTCTCTTTCTAGCATTCAGTAACAGAACAGAGTCCCCAACATCAAATGTTATTTCCCCATATTTAGAATTCTTTCTTTTAGCATAATGTCTTTGTCGTTTTTCTTGTGCTTTAGAAATGTTATTTAGGGCCAGTGCAATGTCAGCATCATGTCTCGATTTTCATATTTATGCTGTGCTCTTTGCAGAAATCTTCCCCAAACGTATTCATATCTGGGATCTTTGTAAACAAATGGAGAAGGGATTGTATTTGTAAAATGAAGACACACTGAATGCCATGTATACATGAAAGGTGCTGGTAATAACATACACTTACCGTGTAATTCTCTGAGACTTCTTCTTGAAACACTGGGTCAGCACAAAACATTAGTCAAAAGGGTGAAATTTTTGTTGTTGCGTGTACTTTAGTTTGCAAAGAAAACAAAATGGGGTCAAGTAATTCATCCCAATTACTCCCATTGTCATCAACCATCTTCAGCAGTGCTCTGTAACAAATGCTCATTGATTGATTGGTTTGTTTAAAAAAAGAAAGTCATATGTGTGGTCTTGACTGAAACAGATCAAACATAATCAAAAAGGTGTAATACATAATGAAAAAGACTTTCCATGTAACACATTGCTGTTGAAGATTTTTTTGTGAGTTACATCTTCTTGCATAGCACACTCTACTTACCATTAATACTGTAATATTCCCACCCCTTCACTTACCTTTTTATGGATTTATTAGCGTTTTCAGCCAAGCCATTGGTTTATGCGTGGTACGGGCTGGTGAAGCTACGTTCTATTCTCAATCTTTCACAAATATACAGGTTAAACTGAAAGAAAATAAGTTACACCATAAACTTACATATAGACTTGTATTAAGGAATGTTCCTTTGTGTATTTGCTGTACTTTTATGTGTAATTAGCAACAGGAATAGCCCATCTTTTAATATTTGTTTTGGAAACAAGTCGTTGCGCATTTCTTTATTAGATATGAAGACACCGAAAAATAATTTTATAGGAACACTGATGGTGACCAACAGCAGTTTATTTAAAAAAAAAAAAAAAAAAAAAAGTATGGTGATTGTTTGAGATCAATGGGTGACCTGAGAGTGAGTTTGACTACATAGTACAAATAACCAGAAAAAAACCAGTCATTACCTTATTATTGAATTCCAGACCAAGATCTGTCAGTATCCGCTTTGGGCATCCACGTCGAACAATCATTTTGTACATGCCCTTTGCCACTTCAGATGCTGACTTCTAAGTGGAAAGGCTTCCACCCATATGTCGTAAGCAGAGAATGTAAAGCCCACTTTTAAATACAGAAGAAAAACCAAACAAAAAGAAATACAGGAATGGGTTATGGAAAACCATCCAAGACTAAAGCTGAAGAAATATCCCCAGCCAGTGCAAAGACACAATAGCGGTAATTGCTGCACTATGCTGTGCCACTTGTATGCATTGGACTCGTTTCAAAATCAAAGCCTCATTGTATCGCAGAAATAACAATGGATAATGATAAACAACAATGTGTCTGATTCCAAAATTCACCTTTATGCTTTTCAATTTAATTCCTTTCTCTCTTTCTGGCAAGTCAGACATCGTGCAACCTGGTTTTGATAGAACAATATGATGATATTAACATTTCGTCATGGAAATAGTATTGCAAGGGAACAGAGTTCACATTTGCACACCAAATATATTTTTATATTTCTTTTATACATTTTGAACTTCTATTTCAATTGTAAATAGAGTTCTTCAGAATTTAGTTTCATTACTTTACATACCCAATTGGCAATGTCTTTTGTCATCCCTGGCCAATAGTATTTTGATGTCAGCATATTCCTCGTTTGGAATATTCCTAGATGTCCACCCAGTAGACTGTCATGATATCTTTCAAAGAGTTGTAGGGCAACCTTTCTTCCTTTTGCAGAATGGAACAATGTCCCCTCTGTTGATCGTAGAAGATGGAGCACGGAGGATGATTAAGGTTTCTCGGGGCCCTGAGCTAGAGCAATTGTTGGGCCCCTACCACCCTGTCCACTGGCTGCACCACCTATGGCCCTATCCCTTTCGTCCTCTTCCTCAGGATCTCAGCCATGTTCCACCTAGGCTCCCCACCATTTTGCCTGCCACTTCATCAGATGCATGTAGTGGAAATTCCCAGAGGCAGGTATAAATATACAAGCAAGAATCAGGCTAGGGATAATGAGGTTAGTTCAATCAGGGAGGATGAGGCCCTCTTCTAGCAGTTGAGGTGTGTACACCAAGGGAGGAGAAACTCCTTTTCTAGTTGGCTAGCCATTCACAGTCTTTGTTTAATCCTGAGCTGATAGTGTCAAATTTGCAAATGAACTGAAGCTCAGCAGTTTCTCGTTGAAGTCTGGTCCTGAAGTTTTTTTAGCTGCAGGATGGCTACCTTTAAATCTGCTATTGTGTGTTCAGGGAGGTTGAAGTGTTCTCCTACAGGTTTTTGTATATTGCCATTCCTAATATCTGATTTGTGTCCATTTATCCTTTTATGTAGGGACTGTCCAGTTCGGCCGATGTACATAGCAGAGGGGCATTGCTGGCATATGATGGCGTATATTACATTGGTGGATGTGCAGGTGAATGAACCAGTGATGGTGTGGCTGATCTGGTTAGGTCTTGTGATGGTGTCACTGGTGTAGATATGTGGGCGGAGTTGGCATCGAGGTTTGTTGCATGGATTCATTTCTGAGTTAGAGTTACTATGGTGCGGTGTGTAGTTGCTGGTGAGAATATGCTTCAGGCTGGCGGGTTGTCTGTGGGCAAGGACTGACCTGCCTCCCAAGGCCTGTGAAAGTGACGGAGGCATGTAGGTAGGAATAGCAGTCAGTAGGTTTCCGGTATAGGGTGGTGTTTATGTGACCATTGTTTATTAGCACTGTAGTGTCCAGGGATCAGGAGAGTGAGTTTGTGTGTGTGTGTGTGTGTGTGTCCCTGGGAAAAAAGGGGGGGTGTGTGAGAGAGCCTGGATTTGTGCTGGACATGGCCCACCTTGATTACCATGCACATTGTAGGGAGAGTGGTCACTTTGGATGAGCTATTACCAGCAGGAGAGTGAGTTTGTGTGTGTATGGGGGTGGGGGGGTGAGAAAACCTGAATTTGTGCTGGAAATGGCCCACCTTGATTATCATGCACATTGTAGGGAGAGTGGTCACTTTGGATGAGCTATTACCAGCAGGATAGTGAGTTTGTGTGTGTGTTTTTTGGAGGGGGGTGAGAGAACCTGGATTTGTGCAGAAAATGGCCCAACTTGATTATCATGCACATTGTGTAGAGAGTTGTCACTTTGGATGGGCTATTACCAGCAGGAGAGTGAATTTGTGTGTGGGGGGGTGGAGGGTGAGAAAACCTGGATTTGTGCTGGAAATGGCCCAACTTGATGATCACTTTAGATAAGCTATTACCAGCAGGACAGTGGGGTGGGAGGAGGTATTGTTTCATATTCTCTGTGTGTATATAAAGTCTGCTGCAGTTTCCACAGTATGCATCCGATGAAGTGAGCTGTAGCTCACGAAAGCTCATGCTCAAATAAATTGGTTAGTCTCTAAGGTGCCACAAGTACTCCTTTTCTTTTTGCGAATACAGACTAACAGGCTGTTACTCTGAATACTGATGAGTGTAATATAAGTGCCTCGCTAGTTAGACTGTCATGAAGAAAGAGTTAACAGGATAAAGAAAGCAGAATGCTTGTTTACTTAAACATAAAGGTTTATATAGACATAAAGGTATTTAAAAGATACAGAAAGGTATATCATCTTGTTACATTACTAGGAAGTAATTGCTACTAATCTCAAGATATTATCATTGAAATCCAAACACCACTAATGAGATCACCAATTATATGTGCAGCCTTCATAGCAATATAGCTTGAGGATTTATCTGCATAAGGCTCTTTGTGCAAAAAGATGTTGGGATAGTTGTGGATGCACTGACTTATGTGTTGAGACAATTGTAGTAGTGGTAAAATGTTGCAGATATTCCTACGAAATGTCAGGAAAGGCCCAATAGAAGGGATATTTAAAGGGATATGAAGAAGCAGATTTGAAAATTAAAAGGCAGAGACGTTTTTATTTTCAATGTTTTGCTCCTAAATTCCTGTATTTAGGACTATTACAGTAAATAGAAGGGAGTAGAATGTACCCATAACAGGTATGCAGGGGATTAAGAATGAAATGGAAGTATATCAAGCTGGGAGGAATTGCAAATTCTTTGGAGGATAGGATTGAAATTCAAAATTATCTGGACAAACTGGAGAAATGGTCTGATGTAAATGGGATGAAATTCAATAAGGACAAATGCAAAGTACTCCACTTAGGAAGGAACAATTAATTGCACACATACAAAAATGAAAAATGGCTGCCTAGGAAGAAGTACTGTGGAAAGGAGTCTGGTTGTTATAGTGTATCACAAGCTAAATATGAGTCAACAGTGTAAGACTGTTACTAAAAAAAGCAAACAGAATTCTGAGATGTATTAGGAGGAGTGTTGCAAGTAAGACAGGGGATGTAATTCTTCCGCTGTACTCCATGATGATTAGGCCTCAGGTGGAGTACTGTGTTCCGTTCTGGGTCCCACATTTCAGGAAAGATGTGGACAAACTGGAGGAAGTCCAGAGAAGAGCAACAAAAATGATTAAAGGTCTAGAAAACATGACCTATGAGGAAAGATTGGAAAAAAATGGGTTTGTTTAGTTTGGAGAAGAGAAGACTAAAGGGGTCATGATAACAGTTTTCAAGTACATAAAAGGTTATTAAAAGAAGGATCTATAGCTTAGGTAAAAGAAGCATTGCTGCAGAATAAATGTGGAAGATGCAAACACAAGAGTAAAGTTATTTATGGACTAATAGTGATAACTACTCAAGGAGAGCCTAAACAAAATAAGTTACATTATTAAAGGTTAATATCTGAGGTAGAAAAGGAAACAGAGAGGGAAAATGAGGGATCTCAC